GGGATGCGCGGGCTGGGGCGGAAGCAGGGAACTTGGTGGTGTAAACATGGCCCTCCCGTGCTGCCCCTTCCGGGGTCGCGCCGGCCTCCCGCGCCTCTCCCAGCCCCCAGGGCGCCCCTGACCCGCGCCGCGGCCCGCGTCTCGGGGGCCGAGAGTCGCGGTAGCCAGGGAGGGATATAGGGGCGCCGGCCGTCTCGCCTTCCCGCTTGCGTTTCCCACCAGCGCCTCCGGAGCTGCAGGCCCAGCGCCGGCCCCAGCCCCGCGGAGAAGTGATTTGGAAAATGCCCTTGGAGGCCCCTGTGCGGTCTCTGGGCCCTGCCTGCGGGGTGTGGTGGAGGCCCCGTCTCCTCCCGGCGAGCGGGCGGCAAAGTTGAGAGGCGGGAGGGGAGCCCCGGGCGCGCCGGGACTAGTTCTGGGCCCTGCTGGGCGGAGGAGGCAGGGTAGGGTGGAGGAAGGTGTAACTGCCAGCTCTACTTCTAGTGCGTTTGTTCCGCGCCTTCCCTTCTGGTGCAGAGAGCGGAAAGTGCGAGCCCGTAAACCTTCTGGAAGAAAGAATCGCTCGACAACATGCCCTCGAATGTCCCTAGCCGAGGCTGACCCGTCCGATCCCGGGACACTAGGCTTTTACTTTGAGACTTGGTTGGATCCGGATGAGTTCTTCCCAGTAAACCTCTCCGTTGATACTCTGTGGCATCTTGGCCTACCAGTGACTTTTGGGGGGGGGGGGCGAGGGGGGAGGAGAAGTTGAATTTTAAATCTACGTGAAACATATATATTAGAGTTTTTCTCCATTGGGGACCGTTTTTAGCCCTTTGAAGACTAAAACCGCCATCCTTGACTAATTTGTAATGTTTGTAAGCGCATAAATGGCAGAATGATTAGAATTAAAATCTCATGATGCAGCTAGAGTATGTCATTAAAGTTTTACTCTCCCAGTTTAGCTTAGCCGAGTGATGATAAAACCGCAGTATCCAAGTGGATTATCTATTTTACAGACAGCCACGGGCTCATTTTCACTTCTTCCCTCGGTCTTGAGGGCTGAGAGGAACTGGGACCTGGCCTCTTAGAAATCGGGAATGTGTCCCCCACTCCCATTTAAAACCATAAAAGGAAAACTCGATTTTATTGTTCCGGTTTGAAATATCGAAAAATAGAAACATAAAGTTAGAATCTTAGCTCGAGTCTTTTTTTTTTTTTTTAAGGAGTAGCAGATAATGTTAATATCTTAAGAATGTACTTTGAGAAAACGGTCCTTGAATCTCATCTAAAGAGTTTTTAAACTCAACATTTAAAACCTAAGCTGCTGCTGGCTGCTAGGTAAAAATCAGATGTGGTTTCTTGGTATTTCCTAAAGTTCCTGCTTTGATTGATTTGAATTGAGAAGCAGGAAGGCACAGTGAACTGGGTGAAAAATTATTTCTGACCAGTAGAGCAAGAAAGCCCTTTTGTAATGATAAAAGAAAATACTTTTACTCAATAGTTCCTTTAAACGGACTTTTCTGCTATGTTAATCAGGTTGCAATGTAGAACAAATGCCTGAGAATTTGCCACTCTGCCTTTGTGGGGAGAGAATCATTTTGAAAAAAGGTACTTAAAGCAACACTGGCAGGTGCCCTGAAGTCAGTATCAGATGGTTCCAGGTGCTATCTAGTATCAATACTTTTTTTGTCCTCATTTTTTTCTTCAAGAGTATAGGTCAAAATTCTTAAATCTTGAGAAAAGAAGGTGAATTTTCTTTAATAACTTTGCTTCCCAAACATAGTGTATTTCCTACGTAGTGTTACCTAGGGAACTTTTTATTTTGCTCTTTCTGTATAAAAGCTGATAAGTTTTTATTTGGTTCAAACAACCAAATTTTCATGTTATATTTCTAGAGATGTGAAGATGGCTTCTGACAGTTATCTCTGTATTGAAGTACATCTACAAACTGTACGATAATTGTTTTTATTGTGCCATTTGGGGAAGAACATTCTTTTCCTTCTCCCCAAAAGAAAAAAAAAACCCAACAAAGTACATTTATTTTTTACTTTGAATAAGCAGCAGCTACTGCCCAGGGAGGCTTTCCTCAGAGTTGTTGAATAAATTAAAGGCACACCTGCCTTTGACTGTTTTGGATAAAATAGAACTACTAACCCTTCTGTTCCCTCTTCTAATATATTCCTCCCCTTTTTTTCCCCTCATCTCCTGACCAAAGCTTATAAGGAGTTGGTTTAGAAATTTCAGAAAGACAGCAGAGTGAATTCAGGCAGCTTAGGCAAAGATGTCTAAAAATAAGCCTGAATGAAAGAACACATTAGTGTAAACATTTTTCACTGTCTTGCAAATCATTTTTATGCCTCTTGATTCTTACTAATAGCGCTTGAGCATAGGTATTATTTATGCCATTTTCTAGATGTGGGAACCAACCGGAAAGGAGACTAATTGAACTGACTAACGTGAGATAGTGTATTATGTGGCAAATTTGTGACTTTTGAAAACTTGAGGTCTTTCTGGCCCTCAAAAAACCACACTCCTACTCACCATGTTGTATTATCACTTTGTTATTACTTTTGCAAAAATTAATATTCATTTCATTCCAAAGTGTTTGCTGAAGAAATTAGGAATATGAGATTGATATTTTATTCAATCAGCAGTCATTGAACATTCATGTGGCAAGTCCTAGGTGAGGGGTTGATGACTGTAAATTTGAATGAGTTATCGTTTTTAATGTTTAATGAAGGTTGCCAAAGGCTTTTTATTTTTTTACTTCCCACACCCCAGTTTCATATTAGCATGGATGAGAAAACAAATCATGAACTGAATATAGTAACTACGAATAAACAAAAGTTGATATTTGTGGGTTTAACTGCTCTCTGTCCTTCATTGAACATTTGGTGTATCACTCAGTTAAGATTAAAAGAAAATCACCCTTCAGTTACAGTTAAGAGGCACTGATCAGTTTATAGTTTTCATAAGTTGTAATTTAAAAAGTAGATTTTGTTTTATAAATTTCTATTACAAAATTTTATCAGTTACTTTTAAACTTTCTGGACAGTGACTCATGTAAGAAATATATTTTACATCAAGACCTGAAACAAAAGTTTTGTAAGACAACTTGTGAAGTACTGTTGTGTGATGTATTTTATTTAAAAAAAAAAAAGCTGGTTGCAACACTAAATTGATTTCACAGCTGAGTGGTTTGACTCAAGTTTGGAAAATACTCATTAGCTATGTCACATGTGTAGTAGGGCCTGAGTTAAGTTAACATGTTTTGAGGATGTCGTAAATTTAAGATATTCTCATATTTGAAAGTACAGACAATTTACAAGAATAGCTAGAAAACTTAGTTTCTACTGGTTAGCATCATCCTTCCATTTCCCTAGCTACTTTGAGAAACCTTTGCCTGAAAGTTTTCCTTTCCTTTGTGTGGGGGTAGCAAGAAAGACGTTTGTTTAATGGGCAGTTTGGATGCTTTGGCAGTTTTTTCTCGAGTGCTCTTGCTTACCCTGGGGAGACCTGTGTGCTCTGCAAAATCTGGGAAATGAAGGCAAACAGAAGGACAGCTGCATTTAATTGTGGCTTAAGTGCTCTTGTCCCTTTTTTTCCACTTTAGTGTCACATTTCCATAGTTTTTTTCCTGTTTCCATGGTAGAGGCCTCCCCATGGTCAGCCTGTTACCATCTGCACCCTGGGAAAAGGTTGGTGTATGGACATTTAGGGTATTTGTGAGGTCAAGGTTCTTAAA